TTACTTATTTTCTCCATACTTCATCTGCTAACCATGTTCTTCTTGTAGTGTTCATTCTTGAAATATTAATTTATTTACCCACATATTGATTAGTAATTATATCTATAGAATTACAGGTTTATATATTTTATATTCTACTAGTATTTGGTAAGGAAATAGAGTTGTTTCTAAATTAATGTAAAAATTAGGAATTTTTACGTTCTTTTTAAAAATCTAATTATATAAAATTGTTTTATTAATCTAAACTACTATCTACTTATGTATTCTACGCAGTGTTACTTTATATTTTTAATTTAAACGAGGACTTATAGATTTCATCATGTTTGTTTTTGAAGGTAAATCTTAAAAATTTTCTTAATAATATTTATTATTTATATAACCTAAATTACTAGATAAGAATTATGGAGAATTAAATAAATTAAATTTATCTGTAATAGGTGATTAAAAATCACTAGATTATTAAATTAACATTTATTTTTAATATCGGTTTATATTTGAGAATTAATCTAAAATAGTAAAATTTTTAGTATATTTACGTTAAAAGATTTTGTGTCGCATTTATATAGAATTTTAATCATTATCATTAAATTAATTTAAATATTTTACACAATTATTTATGAATACATTTATTATTAGAATTCTTATTATTAAAACTATGTAATATTAATCTATCATATAATTATAATATATATAAAGAATATATATATAAATATATATATATATATATATATAATATTAATGTTTAATTGATATATAAAAATATATAAATGTATAAAAATAAAAATCTATAAATATAAAAAATGTATATATATATAAATGTATAAATTTATAAGTGTATAAATGTATAAAAATAAAAATCTATAAATATATAAATGTATATATATATAAATGTATAAATGTTTAAATGTATTAATTTATAAATGTATAAATATATAAATTTATTAATGTATAAATGTATAAATAATAAATGTATAAATGTATTAATATATATTTTTATAAATTTATAAATGTATATATGTATAAATGAATAAATATATAAATGTATAAAAAAATAAATTTATTAATGTATAAATATATATCTGTATAAATGTATAAATATATAAATATATATATTATATAAATATATATATATATACATATATATATATATATTACTTCTTATTATTAAAATTAAATTGATTAAGTTATTATTTTTTTTAATGCATTTTAAGCTTCAATTATTAAATAACCTCTTATATTTTCAATTGCATTTTAAATAGTATTTTTATTTTCTTCTTATTGCATTATTTGACTTTATTCATAATTTAAAATAGATTATTATTGATCATTTTATTAATTTATTACTGAAATATCATTATTATTATTGAAAGATTATTCCTTACTATTAATTCTTATAAATTTACTAATTTTACAATTACTATTATTTATAGAATTATTATCAAATTTTGAGATTTACATATAGTTTTAATCATTATCATTATTATTATTATTATTATTATTATTATTATTTTTATTATTATTTGTATTATTTATTTTATATAAATTATTTTATTTATTTATACTATTTATATTATTATTTCTATTTTCATTTTTTTTATTATTTATATCATTATATTTATTATCAATATTTTGTACTGAGAATGTATTAGTTATATTAAAATTTTTTTAAGAAAATCCTCTTTTTAAATTATTATTAGATATATAAGTTTTACTTTAGTTACATATTGCTATGTCTTGAAAAGTCTTTTATAATAAAATAGAAGTTTTATGTTTTCCTAATGAAGTTTTTTTTCTATATTTTTCTATTCTTATTCTTTTTAATATTTATTTTTTTCATTTAAACTAATTTGTTTTCCTCTATTTTTATAATATTAACTGTCTAGAATATTATTTTTGTTTGCATTTATAAATTATGTAATTTGCATACTTGGTCTATTATAATTTAAATTACTTGAATTTTTTAAATTAGTTTTTTTAATTTATTAGGTATTTTATTATTTCCATTTATGGCCTGTTTTGATACTTTCTCTACAAAAAGTTAAGTTTAATAACGCATGATTTCTTTTTTATTTTTTCTATGTTCTACTTTATTTTTTGTTTATGGATTATTTTTAAGTTTTATCTTTATTATTTTTCTATATACTTGATGAATATGATATGTTATCTGAAAAAAATTATTACTAATTATTTCCTATATAAGTTTTCATCTCTACAGGTCGAAAATTCATTTCAATACTTAAAGTAGCTATATTATTTGTATTTTTTATATTTTGTTAAGATTATTCATCCTATTAAAATATTAAATCGAAATGTCCACCAACTCTTTATATATGAAGAAAAATAATTAATAATTCTAAAAAATGCTCTTTTTTTGAATGAAGGTCTTTTAGTAAAATAATTTTTTATATGTAAATATTTTTAGCCTTTCGAAATATTTTTTCAAGCAAATTTTTGGTTTTTTAGTTACATTCAAATTAAAATTCAAACAAAAGAACATAACTACCATTTTATCCTATTTACCGTAATCTACAGTCAATTTTTATGTTTTTTTTTGCATTTTCTTGCTATAATTGCAATTATTATTATTACTTAATCTAGTTACTGTTTATTGTCAAATTTTTATTATGTGTTTAGTCAAAATTAGATTAAATAACATATTCTTACTCATCTATAATTAAGTCTAAAATATGCATCATCATAGCATGAAAATGAATATCATCTCCGAAAACTTCTCCTGAAGGGAATGATTCTTCAAACAAAAGAGTTATTTCATTAATTAAATTAATTTTTTTCACCAATATAAGTTCAATTGTATAAATAATAGAATTTTTAATATCAAATTATTAAGCAATTTCATAAGTATTTCCAGTAAGTTCTTATGTTATTTTTACTAAATTATAAATACTATTATACTAGTTATGATATTCATGCAAACAAACAGATAAATCTTTTAAATCATCGATTTTAATAACATTTAATGATACCATATTATGCCATTTAAAATAGTCTTTTTCTAAAAGGCAAATATTATCAATTGTACTTTAAAAAAGTTAATAATTATAAATTTCATTTATTTCCAATATACTTTATAATTTAGTCATTTTTTAAATTTAAATCTAAATCGTTTTTTGTCCTTTCCACATCAAAACAGAGATGTATAAACAGCATAATATTTTATTTTTTTTATCAAAACAAGCTTTATTTTCATCTTATGGATTGCTCGTAACATTATTTTCACTTTCTTTTTTTATTGGATAGCTTCTAGATACTTCTTCAAGCCAAATTTACTCTTCAAATTCTTAATTAAAGTTATATATTTATTCGATTTTTTATTATAAAAATTCTATTTATTCTTGCTTTTATAAAATTTAAGTAAAATGGGTTATTTTAGTATTTTTTGGGATCAAGTTTTCAATAAATTATCGTCCTTTCTAATTCATATATTAAATTTTCATTTTGTCATCTATTATAAATAAATTTTATGTAATATTTTCAAGGGCATGTTAGTAGTTTTTGGCTATTTTCTATTATTATTATATTTAAATATATTATTTACGAAAGATATTATTTATTTCTTAGTAAATTATGTATATTAAAAACTTATAAAATAATAGATTTAATAAATTTAATGAAAATAATTCTTTTTAAAGAATTTTCTTTTATAAAATCAAATGAATTAATATTAAAAAATAGGATTAAATAGGAGATGTTTAAATTATACAAAGCTTGAATATTATTTAAATATAAAATAATGCATTTTATAAATTTTCGTGTATAATTGTTTTTGTTAATTTAAATAATAATATATTTTAGAATAAGAGAAGCATAACTATTATGTATTTGTTACTTTATACATATATTAAAATTAATCGAAATAAAATTGAATTTGCTAATAATATTAATAAGTCTTTGCTAAAATTATGAACAATATATTAATATATGAAATATATTATTAAGATTATTTATAGTCTTTTTAATAAAGGCAAATTATAATTTATAAAAGTATTTTTCAAAAATTATTATTCTTGCTTTTAATTTAGAAATTATCCAAATATATTTTATTTAAATTAATACATTAACTACTTATCACTTTATTTTTATTTAGTTTTCTTTCTTTCTTTTTAAATATTTATTTATTTTATTAATTAATTTTTTTTATTTTATTTTTCTTATATATAACTAACGTCAAAATATTTGTAGATAATTACTAAAATGAAATAAAATCAAACAATTTTAATTCTTTAAATTAAAATAAATAGCTTTAATATATGCTATTATATAATTAAAATTATAAACTAATCTCATTATTTATTTATATAAATGTATATATTATCTGAAATTATAATTAAACAAATAATTAAAAATTAATAATAGGAATTGTAAAATTTTTCTCAAAATCGAAATAAATATTTAAAGAAATGATTAATTTTTAATATATATTTTAAAATGAATAAAAAATATTATTATTTATAAATTTTAATTTTTATTACTTAGTAAAAATAAATAAAAAAATTAACTTAAATAATAAAAATTAAAAACAATATATATAAAAAGAATAATATTATAAAAAACAATAATTTATATTAATATTTAAAATTAAGAATATTTATATAAATAAAAATATATATTAAATATAAATATTATAAATAAAAATTTAAAATAATAAAATTTATTAAATATTATAAAATATAATCTTTATATATAATTTATTTATTAATTTTGAATTATTTTATATGCATTTATTAAATTATCATATTGTAATTAATATTATTTTATATTATCAAATTTTAGTTTATAAAATTTATTAAATATATTATTTCTATACTTTATATAATAAATTTTATTTAAATATATATAGAATATTTAAATGTTTATTAGATTTTAGTATATCTCAAATAATTAGTATTATACAAAATAAATTATAATTTCAATAATTTTTTTTTATTATATTATTTTTTTACTCATATCCATAATGAAACAATAATTAAAAATAAAGATTAGTAGCAAAAACTAGTAATACCTCCTTTGTTTTGATTACTTTTCTTTTAAATTATATCTATTCCATCTTTTGTATTGCTATCTCTAATATTTGAATCATTTTATATATCATATTCATTATCTTCATCATCTTCATCATTTTTATCGTTTTCATTATCTATAGTACCGTTCGTTTTTTTATTACATTTTCCATTTGAATAATAATATCCTTTTTCCTTATCACAATTATAACATTCTTAAGAAGAACAACTTTAACATCCTTTACGGCATTTAATACATGCTTATTTAGTATAATCAGGATAATAGGTATCAGGACAATGTTATACACACTTATTCCTATACAATAAGTATCCTTCATCACATTGTAAGCATTCATTTTATTTATTAGTATTACATTTTACACAATTTAAAACTTTGCATTAATTATTAATGCAAAATTTATTATCACTATCATATTCCCAACCGTTGTTAGTATCACATCTTTCACATTTATTCAGTTAATTACACGTAAGACAACCTTTTCTACATTTTATGCAAACACCTATTTCTATCATCGTATTTGAAGGACATTTATTAATACATTTATTATTATAATAGAAAATAGCGTCTAATTAGCATTTAACAATTGGAACACATTCTCTTTTTTCAATATCCGCATAATAATTTTCAGGACATTAATAAAAACATTTTCCTTATTATAAGAATAATCCATCTTTACAAGAAAGACAAATTTTTAAATCATTTGAGCATGTTTTACAATAAAAAGGACATTTAGCACATTAATCACCTTTTTTAACATATTATAAATATTCATCACACACTGTACATACAGTTTATGATTAACATTATCTACATCCTGTAATTTCGCATATTTAACATGTTTTATTTTCTAAATTAGCGAATGTTCCTTCTGGGCACTAATTAGCAGCAACACATTTACCAGTTTTTAAATTAAGGAAGAACTAGTTTTTACATTCAGTACATTGTTCATGAACATCAGAATCACATCTCTCACATTCTTACCCACATCCTTAACTGATTGATTTTTCACATTTTTTTTAATTTATTAATTAGAAATTATTACTACATTATTTCACACATTTTCTTTCTTCTAAATATGTAAGAAAACTGCATTCTAAACAATCATTCTTTGTAGGACCAGAACATTTTATACACGATATATCGCATTAAGCACATATTTTATTTAAATTATCTTAGTAATAACCATTAGGACACTATTCTCTACATACTTTGTCAGGATTTGCAAATTTACCTTAGGGACATTATTAAACGCATTTTTAGAAATCTTCTTCTAAAATAAATTATTTACACTATCTTTATTCAATATTACAATCAGATCCAGTCCATCCTAATAGGCATTTACATTATCCATTTATACAAATACCCTTTCGAGAACAATAATTAGGACATTCAGGAGTATAACTACAAAATTCTCTTAAATTATCAGGACAAGTAATGTAACCAAATTCTGGTTTTCCTTTAACGACTTACATTTAATTTCCTTCGTCTTATTATCTGCATACTAAATTTTAAAATTTTAAGTCAGGAAAATTTATAGTAATGTAAGTAAAATCAGGAGAACATTTAACGTGATGACATCGAATATTTCTATCGTATATATAACCTTATCCATAATTAGCAGTAGATATTAAGCATCTTGAATTAACGCCATAATATTCCAATGTATACTAATCATATTAAGTTTTTTGTGAATAATCTTCGCAAAAAACTGAATTATTAACTTTTTTGCAATTATCCATAAAACTATTTTCAACAATTTCCCCATAGCCATCATTTCTTGAAGAGCATTATTTAGTAGAATATTCTGTTCGGCTAAACTCAGGATAATAAGTATCAGATTAACAAGCTTTAAGAACAAAATCACATCCTTTATTTCTTCCCCATTATATATTATCAACCATACTTTCATTTACTTCAGCATAATAACCAGTATCTTTTAATACAGCAATAGTAAAAATAGACAATGTAGATTCCCTTCCAGAAGAATCGGCAGTCATCAGTTCATTAAAGAGGATTGTTTTTTCCCAATGAGAACCAGTTGAATTAATATCTCCATCGTTTTCTAATTACATTCCTTCTAAAGTAGGACATCCATAATATTTTCTAGCAGTAGCAAGTACATTTGGAGTAGACATGATAATAGTTTGTTTACCTCTTATAGGAACTGATTTTATATAATTATTTATTTAATTATCATAATAATCGCCTGTTTAAGGATTTACCCAATATTTATATAAACCACTTGAAAATCCTAAAATATGCAAACATTCATGCAAAACAACATTAAAATCACTTTTTAATCCAGAATCAGTACGAATTTAGCCTATCCTTCCCATATTTACCTAAATTATACCAAAATTAACTCTTTTTAAAACAGCATCCATTTAACAATGAACAGCATTAGCTAAAATAGAAGAATCTGGACTATTATTATAGACAACCCAAATATGGATATCAGAATTTTTTTCACCATCTCTATTATAGTTTTAAGGAATCATTATATTATTACATCTTTGACCATTATATATATTAGGCCCTAAAGCTGGAATTACTTTTAATAGTTTTTACAAATAAACCTAAATTTATTCCATTAGACTTTATAATTGCAATTTTTAAAGATTAGTTATATTATCAATCATTTAGTCAAATAAATTATAATCCATAGTAACTCTTATAGGTTACGCTTACAAAGGAATATTAATCTGCAAATTTCTCTTTTCTGAGTTTCTTACAACTTATTCTTTTAATACTCTTCGTGTTTATTCTGTTTTTTCATTCACTTCTGAGAAATCAAATTCAGTATCATGATTACATACATGATTATATACTCCTAATATAGCTTAGGAAAGTAAAACTATTATTAAAATTGTGTTTTTAAAACTTTTTTACATTTTCATTATTAATTTTAATTATATATAAAATTTTTTATTTCATTTGTCTTATAAAATTTACTTTATGAATATTAATTAAATAAAATAGACAATAATTTTTATGTTTGTCTATATTTATATTTTTAATAAAAAATAATATATAAAAAAAATTATATTAAAAAATCCATAAATAGTTTATATATTAATAAATTATAATAAACAAAATATTTATTTCATTATACAATTGCTAATAAAATATAATTATTTGGATAAAATAAAAACTATTAGATACACATAAATCATTAAAAATATTTGTGAAATAATGATTATTTATATTAACAATTATATATAATGAAAGATCAAATTTTTTAAAAAAATAATTAATAATAGAAAAATAAAGATATGAATATTATTTCATAAAATTATTATATTATATTAATCAATATAAATAATATTTAATTATAAAAAAAAAAAAAAATTATAAAAAAAAAAAAAATATTTTCCTTATTAATCTTAAAATTATAATAATATATTATTTGTTTAAGATATAATATAAATTTTTTATTATATCAAAAAAATATAAAAACAAATATAAATAGATATATATATTGAATATAATTAGAAAAATAATTTATATTTACATAAAATTGAATTTTATAATATTCACTATTTTAAAAATAAAAATAAATATGTATAAAAATATATATATAAATATTTATATA